AAATAGAGTTATAGCTACGCTAACACCTACTTGTGGTATTGCTTAGATCTTTGATGATGGACTTCGTTCAGCCATTGCTCTGGTCACTACATAAAATGGAAAAAACTGGAAATCTTTTCCTCCAATTGTTCTGTCTCCTCAGCCTCAACTGGACTTTGTGATTATAAGCAAAGATATGACTTTCACTCCTATCAAATCAATCTATGAACTAAATCAACTCTATCCACAGGTAATTTTTTAACTACCCCAACTACCAACAGTAGTGTAGGCAATTCATACTCCAGTTGGATACAGTACAATAGAACTAGGATACACACTGCACCCATCCTATTTACTTTGGCTTACGCTGAACACTGTGGAGGGAAAACGAAATCATTCTCCAGCAAGAGAGTTTAAGTAGCTCCTGTAGCCCTTACAATAATCATCGGCTTGGATGCTTCCTTCAAAGAAAATGAGGCTATGTTACCTTTCAATAAAAACCGTTCATATCTCTCATCTACCCTAGGTACTATTTCTACATTTGGTAGCATTCACCTCTGATCTCTTAGTTGAAGTTACAGTTACAATCCAAGTGGTCTTTTCCTCCCATGTTTCTTTTTCAAACTCATTTTTATGAACTGTACCAACCCCCACAGGTGGTGCAACTCTCAACATTGTGAATGAACATATCTCACCTTGTTATAATGGAAGCACCTTGCCCTCAATTTTCACCTCACCCTCAGCAATTTTCCTTCTGGTCTGAGGAGATCTTTCCATTCTCATTCCTTACCATGCCTTACTTTCACTCTTCCATTTTCTATCCTTTTCAAATTTACGAAGATATTGGAAAAAAGGATTAGTTTTATGGATTAATTCAATCATCCATCGTTGCTGCCATCTATTTGCAACCCTTCAGTTTCAATGTCTACTTATTACTGAAAGTAGCAGTTTTTTTTTTAAAAAAGTTCTCTAAGAGAATAACCTCTCAGAGCTTCATACTTTGTTTCAGTTGCTAAAGCTCATATCCACCTCGTTTAGCTCCCTCAAATTCAATATAGGCTTGCCCGGACTATTTTCTTAGATTCTGAAACCTTTGCCAACATGCCTCAGGCACTAATGCAAATGCAACCAATATATAGTTTTGCTTACAGTTTCACAATCCCAAGAAACCTCTTCTGATGGTGAAGCATAACTTTCCTACACTTTATCTGTCAATTTACTCTGCAAATCCAGTCCTCTTTTGCCCAATTAACCTGTCCGGCCTTTTTCTCAAATAAAATGAAGAATACCTGCGCATGCTTTGCCCCAAATTTTGGTACAGCTGTACAAGCAAACATTTCTCGACTGGATCTCAAACTAGACTCAGATTCTCTCAGCACTGCCTGCATCAGTAGCCGAAAACTCCTGCTTCAACTATGCAAATTTAAGTTAATATTCACATTCTCTCTCTTTCTCTCATCTTCCTTCTTGTTTCCTTTGCAATTCTAATCTAAATTTTCTCAGCTCTCTCCTTATCTTTCTCTTCCCCTTGGAATTCCAATTCCTGTTGTTTTCATTCTTCCTTTATTCTCCCTTCTGGCAAGATGTGGGAGGGTAAGTCCATTTGGAGGTCCACTCTGCTCGCCAGTTCTCTTTCTTTCTTTGTCCTTTCTTTTTTTCTCTCCCTCTGTAGTAATCCTATCCCCTCCCCACCCCTTTTAGAGAAAGAGAGTGAATGTGAATATTAGCTTAAATTGGCATATAGTTGAAGCAGGAAATGTCAGCTATTGATGCAGGCAGTGCTGACAGAATCTGAGACTAATTTGAGGTCCAGTCAAGAAATGTTTGCTTGCATAGCTCTACCAAAATGTGAGGCGAAGGATGTGCAGGTATTCTTCATTTTATTTGAGAAAATGGCTGGACAGGTTAACTGGGCAAAAAAGGACTGGATATGCAGAGTAAATCGACAGGTAAAGTCCAGAAAATTTATGCTTCACTGTCAGAAGAGATTTCTTGGGATTGTGAAACTGTAGGCAAAGCTATATATTGGTTGCATGTGCATTAGTGCCTGAAGCATGTCGGCAAAGGTTTCAGAATCTAAGAAAACAGCCCGGGCAAACCTATATTTAATTTGAGAGAGCTAAGCAAGATGGATATGAGAGTGTTAGAAGCTGAAAACTGTATTTTTTCATTGAACACGTGACAATAAATGATTCCCGCAACTTTAATTGTAACCTCCTTACCACCCAATTGCGACATTTCACTATCCGAAGTACTTGGACTCCTCTGTATTTCCTCTGAACCTAAGTACTGTATTAGTACCTTGAATCTTTCTACCTTTCTAACTCTGTCAGTGATTGCTACTTCCAGTTTACTTACCAAGTCAATCAACCTGGGTTTTGAAAATTCCTTCAAAACCATTGAGGATAACTCTGCCACTTGCAGGAAAGCCTTTTCTACTTCTGATTCCAAGTGTAAAATGGTATGCAGAATGTGGTATTTTCCTTCACCTATGTTATTTACTAATACTACACCCAAATCCTCATTGGCTCTGTTTCAAATCAAATGCAACCAATCCAAGCCCAGCCAAGACACTCAAACCTTGTCATGACTCACTGGGGTAGAAATTAAGCCCTACTATTCCCGGAGTTGTCACAAAAATTAAAGTTTTTAAAAGAAATGCATAAAATCCCCAAGTTACCCAATTTTCAAACCCAGGTTGATAGAAAGCATGGGTCAGGTTTCTGTACTTAACAGGAATCATTATTTATTACATAATTAAATTCTAGCTACAAGTAAACAATTAAAATAAATTATGTAAACCATACAAATTAAAACTCTAAACCCGTTATAAACTCCACCTTAACACAGACAACCAGACATAACAGGAAAGAAAAAGTACGAATGGAGGCCAGAATCTTCGTTCCCAAAATCCGTTGAGTTGGTTCTTGCTGATCTGAAGATTTCTCCTTCCAAATGCTTCCAATTTTGCAAGAGGCAAGTGGTGGCTGATTCACTTAAAAAAGGCCTCTGTCTTATCCAATTAAAAGTCACAACTCGCAGCATCTGGATAAAGTTTGTTTACTTCAAGTGTGAAGTGCCTTACTGCAGAGATAGAAAGTGCTTGCTTTGGCTGCTGCATCTCAGCTGATTCTCTTTCCTGGTCCGACCAGCTTCTCTCGATCTTACTCACAGACGAAGCTGTTCACCAAAGTGACAACCAATCACCATCCTATTGTTAAGCAGAGGACCTTTGTCATTGATAATTGGTCCCTAATCCACAAACCAATCACCTTCACTTATAAACAACCCTTCAGCTCCGGTTCATTTGCACATTGCTGGAACCCACTGCTGCACAAACTGAATTCACAACAGGTATTAAATTCCATACTTTCAAAACATACAGCCATCCTTCTAAATCTCTGAGGTTTAAAACAGTTTTCTTCAGTTTCAATGCACAATGCAACAATAAAAAGCACAGTCTTTACAACTTAGCAATTGTAAAGCAAGATCATTGAAGATAAAATCCCTACATTTTCCACGCATAATTTTCATTGTGAAGTAATAGTATAAAAATGAACTGAATGTAATTAATGTATGAAATATATTCAAGACCATTAAATTTATTATTAAATAACAAAACTAAAAACAATTAGTACAAAACGAATATAGAAAAATTAATTTTGAAATATACACGTACGCACACAAAAAAAATTACTGAAATTCCTAAAGCAAAGTCAAGAATTAACTGAATATGTAGCTCCACCTTGAGCTCAACAAGCAGTGCTGCAAAACAACGTCCAGTTTAAACATACACCAGGAATGTTCCAAAACAGAATCCCGGTGAATATGGCCAATTTAAGCTAATATTCACATTGTCTCTCTTTCTCTCGTCTTCCTTCTTGTTCCCTTTGCAATGCTAATCTAAATTTTCTGAGCTGTCTCCTTATTTTTGTCTTCCCACTGGAATTCCAACTTCTATTGTTTTCATTTTTCCTTTATTCTTCCTTCCAGCAATAAAGCATATTCTCAACCATCACAATCAAGGTTGCTACTTGCTGAGCCATGCTACAAGAAACATTTAGTTATAAAAGTAACTCACGAAGAAAGTAAGACAATATATACTAATGTGGAATTGATAACTAAAAGAACTAAAACTGAAGTAGAACTTTCAGGGTCACTGAAATAATATTTAAACAATAAGGAAACATAGAGGTTCATTTGCGCACAGTAGACCCTGATATGCAAACACCAGAACAGTGTTTGTTGAGATGCTGATTGAGGGATAAATACTGCCCAGACAACCAAGGATAATAAATTACAGCAAAACGCCATAGCTGCTAGAAATCAGAAATAAAAATATGCAATGCTAAAAATACTCAGCAGGTCAGAGAGAGAAAAACAGTTTAAGATTAATGATGGCCTTGCATCAGAATGTTCTGATTCACAGCTTTGTCTGATCCTGACATGACACACACATTTTCCAACAAGACAGACGTGATAGGAAACAAAATCAGAATCGTGAGTGATCGGTTGCAATATTAGTTAAGATTAGCTAATTCAGTCAGTATTGACTGGTAACTGAATCTGGAACATTCTAGGTGCATAGTTCAGCAACACATGACCAACTTTATCAATAGCCTTTACATAATCTTGCTTAAATAGCCTGTTCAACATTGGAATTAATTTTACAAAACTATGATTATTAATTTGCTCAATTTACAGGGCGTAATGAAGTCATCCTGTATACACAGAATGGAATGGTTTGTTTTGAGTTGAAAACCTGGTCAAAATAACAAGCCATTTAAGGTGAACTTATTCCTCAAATTACTTCATTCTTGGCACCGAATATAATGAATGCAACCTGAAACAATTAAGATTCCATTCTGTGTTCTCTTATCAACTATTGTCTCATGTGGAAGCTACTAGAGTTCCTCAGCACAACAGTAAAACTAGGTAGAGCTGTTGAAATCTTATACTCAGTAAAATATGAGAAAGTGTAACAGGGCTCAAAATAGAATTTTGTTTTTAAGAAAACAGACCTGTGAACAACACGTGGGAAGTCAGAAGATGCATTATCTTTGGAGCAACTTCTCAAGGAGCCACTGGACTTTGAATCCCCTGAACCCAGGTCTCCTGTTACCCAGTCTGGTATTCCCTCAACTCCATGATCAAGTGGTTTTGAAAAACTGGGCTCATCAAAGTAGATTGACTGCAATTAATAAAAGAAAACAAAAACTGAATTAATTCACTGAGACATCCCAGAGATTATACCCTATACCCAACAGTGACTTCCCAATTCATCAGAGTTAACAAGCTTGAGTTAATTCCTAATAAATCCACGTTTTTCTTTTATTTTATTGACTTCTTCCCCTCAAGGTTGATAAAATGTTTAGTACTACATGTTGCATAAGGTCTTCAAGATACTGGAATAACTTTACAGTGATGTCACAGAGCTGCAGATCAGCAAGTATAAATATCAGAGAATGGGTGGAGTTAGAACTAACTAGAATAAACTACACGAGACTACACTAAAAGTCTAGACTGGAAGTATTGTACAGACATAAAGACACAATGATAAATCAACCTTTACCTAATGCAACTAGAAGATCAGTGCTTACATCTCTACGGTTGCATGTATATCATGGTATTTCTTCAAAATCTAAGTCTGAAGACATTACTTGACATTGCCTTCTCCTTACATTGTCTGAAAAGAACTCAAACACATGTCACAGCAATAAACCACACCTTAAATGACCACATAGTTCCACAATAATTGTTCTTTATAGCCAGAAGAGACATAATCACTTCTTAACCAGACATCAAGTCGGCTGCATTGCATATTAGTCTTTTGGCAATGCCACTCAAATCCAGCCCTCAAGTCACTCAACCATTTTTACACACTTCTTCGCAGACAGCCTCAATGGAGTATTGGCACAAGCGGAGGTAGAAAGTGAACCAGAAGTCCTAACAGAAAGGAGGCAGTAAAAGAGTAAAATGAATATATATTATAGGTTCTGCACGATATAGTATTGGTTCAAACACTAAAAGTGGTATCCTACCTATAAGACTTTAGAGTTGACTTGTAGCCTGGGTTGTGGATGTTGTGGTTGGTTGGCTTGCTGAGCTGGTTCATTATTCTGCAGACGTTTCATTACCCTGCTGGGTAACATCATCAGTGCAGCCTCCAATGAAGCTCTGTTGTGTTTTCCTGCCTGTCATTTAAAATCTGGTGTCCACTGAGCTGGATTACCTCACTTCCAGTTTTCCTTCACAATGGAGTGTATATGGAGTCTAGCTCTGTGTGTTTATTGACAGCTTTCTTAGTGGAGTACCAGGCTTCTAGGAAATCCCACTCCATTGACGGAGGCCGTTGATGCTAACTAACTAACTACTAAGCCAAACTGACCCAAAACAACAACAACAGAGCAGACACCTGGATAAGAAACCTTTCAGACAGGAAACTGACACAGAGAAAGCTGTTCTCATTCGCAGACTCAATTACAACTACAGAGACGCCAACAAAACAGAATTCCTATTCACACTGGAAGCCATGCTGAAGACCAACAACATCAATGAAGAAACACAACAAGCCATAAGATAGACAGTAATCCTGACACTGACCAGAAAAAGCGAACTCAACACTCTCAACCCATCTGAAAGGAAAACCCTAGAAGGACTGATAAAGGACAAGAACAAGAACATCACAATACTACCAACAGACAAAGGGCGCACAACAGTAATACTAAATAAACGGGACTACCTCCCCGAGGCACATGCACTGCTAGCTGACAAGAACACATACCGGTAAGCGCAGACAGACCCAACACCACAACTGGGCAACAAGATTCTCAAACAGACTGGTTAAACCAACAAAACAGACTCCTTAAGAATGAAACCTGAAGGAACTACACCACCACCGCACCCCCCCCCCCCCCACCCATTCTTTACCTCCCGAAGGTACACAAACCAGACATACCCCTCAGACCCATAGTCTCCCTGCCAGGCACGCCATCGCATAGATTAGCCAAGGAGCCACAAAGGAGACTAAAGTACCTCATCAGCAGTCACCCCACTCAATACACTCAGCCCAGGAGTTCCTCAATTCCATCAAGGACATAAGAATAGACGATGACGAGACCATGGTATCATTTGACGTTACTGCCCTGTTCACATCAATAGACATACCACTAGCAAGAGAAACACTGACAACACTGCTAAAGCAAGAACAAGACCCTAGTGACACCATCTCCACAGTCAACATGCTGAAGCTACTGGACCTATGCCTCACCACCCACTTCAACTTTAACAGCCAGATATATGAACAGATCAACGGGACACCTATGGGATTACCTATCTCTGGACTAATAGCTGAAGCGGTGATGCAGAGACTTGAAAGTATGGCCCTTCCACTAATCCAACCCAAATTATGGATACGCCATGTGGACAACACCTTCGTAATTATTAAACAGACCAAACTAGAGGAGAACTAATAAACAAAACACTCACCGGGAGCATATTCACCAGAGAAGAGGAGAAGAACAAATAGCTCCCATTCCTAGACGTCATGGTGGAACGCAAGACAAATGAGGAATTCCTAACAAAGGTACACAGGAAAGCCACACACACTGACCAAGTACTGAATTTCAACAGCAACCACCCTAATACACACAAAGTTGCTTGAGAACATTATTTAAATGGGCAACAACACAATGCAGCAGCACAAAGCTACATCAAGAAGAAGAAGAGTACCTCTTCCAAGTATTCAAAGACAATGGATACCAAAAAACTGGGTCAGAAGATGCCTATCACACACACGACAACAGGAAGATACTACATGCCCTGACACACTCATCACGCTACCTTACACCAGGAACACATCTGAACTGACCACAAGACTCCTATGACCACTGGGCATCAGAGTAGCACACAAACCCACATCAACCCTATGCCAACTGCTCATCCGAACCAAAGACCCACTACCCACAATGGACAGGACCAATGTCATATACAAGATTCCCTGCAGAGACTGCGACAAACATTACATTGGACAAACAGGAAGGAAATTAACCACAAGGGTACATAAGCATCAATTGGCAACAAAAAGACACGACCAATACTCACTCATCTCCATCCACATGGATAAGGAGAACCACCGATTCGATTGGGGCAACATCAGGATCCTGGGACAGACAAAGCAGAGACAAGCACGGGAATTCCTAGAGGCCTGGTTATCCACTAAGAAAGCCATCAATAAACAGAGCTAGACCCCATACACACTCCATTGCAAAGGAAACCGGAAATGGGGTAATCCAGCTCAACGGACACCAGAGTTTAAATAACAGGCAGGAAAACACAACAGTGCTTCATCGGAGGCTGCACTGATGACGTTACCCAGCAGGGTAATGAAACGTCTGCAGAACAATGAAGCAGCTCGGCAAGCCAACCAACCACAACGGTATCCTACCTGCTTGAAAGAATACTAGAAAGTTTTGGAAATGTCTTGTTTTAGGTTTGTGTACCATGAGACCAAATAGAAAAAGGCTTTCACACTCATTTTATTGAACTGCTGATATATAAGAAAGGTAAATGGAATTTTGGCATTTATTGCTAAAGGAATGGAGTATATAAGGAAGGAACTGTTGCTGCACTATTCAAAGCATTAGTGAGACCACAGCTGGAGTACTGCGTACAATTTTGGTCCCCTCGAGGAGGGATGTCAATGCATTGACGGCAGTTCAGAGGATATTCACAAGATTCATTCTAGAGGTCAGGGGCTTGTTTTAGGAATACAGAATAAACAATTTGGATTTATAGAGTTTAGAAAAATGAGACAAGACCAAACTGAAGTATATAAGATACGAAAGGGGATTGACAAACTCAACATACAGAGGATGCTTCCTCATGTGAGGCAGTCTAGAACAAAAAGGTCATAGTTTTAGTATAAGGTGTAGCAGATTTAAAAACAGAGAGGATGAGAAATTACTTCTCAAACGATCACAAATCTGTGGAATTCACTACCTTTGAGTACGGTAGATGCTAGGACATTAAGAAAATTTAACAAAGAGATAGAAAGACTTTTTAATTGGCAGTATCCCGGAGATCAGCAGGGATTTCTTTTGTCGCAGATTTTCAGGAACATTTGATGGAGATGATGGCTAAGCTCTGTTCCTCCAATTTGAAAATCTCCACTGAAATAAATCAGAGTCATAGAATCATACAGCACGGAAACAGACGCTTCGGTCCAACTCATTCATGCCAACCAAGTTTCCAGTCCTGGAAACACCCTGGAAAATCTTTTCTGAACCATCTCCAATTTAATAACACACTTCCTACAGCAGGGCTACCAGAACTGTACACAATACTCCAAAAATGGCCTCACCAATGTCCTGTACAATCTCAACAAAACACCCCAACTCCTATGCTCAGTGATCTCAGCAATGAAGGCAAGTGTGCCAATGCCTCCTTAACACCTTCTGACTACTTGTGACACAACTTTCAAAGAATTATGTACCTGAGCCCCTAGGTTTCTCTGTTCTACAATACTACTCTAATGTCGCACTGTTAACTGTGTAAGTCCTGCGCAGATTTTCAATTTTTTGTGCGTTTAATGGCAGCTTTGATTAATGCCACACTAAGCGGTAGTCCAAGATAATCTTTGCTGGAGAGTTGAGAGATTTTCTCAAACAGAACACTCATCTATGAATGTATCACTGTTTAGGAGCTCTTTGAACTGTTCACTCCATCGAAGGCTGAGTTTTCGCTATCTCTCTCAAAAGGGTTCTGTCTTTATTCCACACTGGTTCAAGGCCAAGGCTGGTGGGTCAATGTATTGCCTTGGTGGTACTGAAGAAATCCCATGTGTCATGCTTGTTGGCAAGGAGTTGCAGCTCCTTAGCTTTCTCAGTCCATTATCGGTTCCTGATCTCACTAGTTCTTCTTTGTAACTCTGCCTTTGCTGTTTGAGGAGTTCTCTATTCGTACTTTCCTACATATGGTTCAAGAACCAATCTTGTTTAAAACACTCAATTAAAGTATGTCTGACTGTCTTTAACTTGAAGTATTTCACCAACGTTGTTTAATAAGTCAGCAATCTTAAACTCCTAATACCCAGTTGCTCTAGCAACATAGTTGTTAAGAAAGTCTTTACATCAGTTACTGCTTCTGAGTGAACTGTCCCCCTACTTCTAATCCTAGCAACAGCACAGCACAGGATCTATAAGTTAAGTTTAAAATGGTCCGATTGTAAATAGTCACTTGGCATAGCACATTGACGGCAATATCAGTAGAGACACACACCCAATGGATTTCCAATCATGATGAATTACCCAAGGACATTTACACATAACTTCTGACAGAGAACTTAAAAATGAATGGCATCAACTGCCTGCTTTCTCCACAGAAGAATGGAGGGGGATTTCATTTAAAAAAAAGTTCCAGGGCAGAGCTATAAAATTTCAGAGATCCAAAGAGCCAGAAAAGAAATTACATTATCTGGGTGGTGACAGATATCTCATCCCTTTCTTTGCCATAAGTAATCACAGTTTACAAAAGCACAGGGTTATTACCTAGATAGCAAAATATGATGCCATGCCAACAAGGAAAATATACCATTCCATGTATTCTCTGTTATTTGCACCCGAGCAGCACTGGGTGTAGACTCGCTACGATCAACAGCTTTTGGTAAATTGGTCAAATAGAAGCTGCAGCAATAAAGTTTGTTTTTACCTCTCTGGCTGAGACTGCAGGTTTACCTACATTCCAGCAAGACATCACAGCTAAATATTAATTCCACAATCAGATTTATAGATATCATTTGGTGGTGTACATGGCACAGACACACAACCAACTACATACATATTTCTGACCCCAGGATATGAGAGATGGTCAGGACCTCAAGGCCTCATTCCTAGGGTGGCTGACCAGGGAAGATTTTTAGCATTTTTGACTTCAAAAGACATAACACAATCACCAAAATGGTGTATATATTATAAATTATATATTTTAACCAGAAATCTATAAATAAGGTATTTTTGTTAATTTATAATTAATAAAATTCCCAACTTCCAGACACACACAGCTCTTTCACCCTCCCACCACTTACTCAGCAGCCACAGGAACCACAGTCATTCTCCAGCCTGTAGAACCCAAGCTGAGTTCAATATGTTATGTAGAATGTCAAAATTTTTCTTTCCTTTTATTTGTCAGATACCTTAATGATAATTTTAAGTTATGTATGATTAAATGTCATAAAGCCAAGCATGATTTGATGTTTCTTAAAAACATACTAAACTTCTGATTAAGATCATCTGATTTTAAGTTACAGCCCAGAGAAAACATGTGAGAAGCAGATTTGCTGCTGACATAAAAAAAGAATGTAGGTAATGTGATTATAGCCAGATCCTGCATTTTCAATGCATAATCTTCGACCTCAACCATGCCCGTGTGTCAAAAGTAGAAGACAGATCAAATCATGCATTCACTCTAGTCGAGGCAGCATTAGGAGGTGGATAGTCAGCAGGTTTGTAAGTCTCTCAACCCCACAATTACAGCTCTAATTCAGCATCCTACACCCGCTCAAAGCTGCTCCCAACCAGCTGAAACACTACCCTAGCTCAATACTTGAGTGTAGTGGAGCGTGAGAAAGCCCAAATTTGATTGTAGGAGCTGGAAAGAAACAATTTCTGATTGGTGGAGCAGCTGTTCACAGATTCTGTCTGTCACATGCAAGGTCAAGCTTTCTCTAGATTGGTTGTCTCTGTGAGTGAATGTTCTCTGGCAGGTTTGGAGCCTTTGGGAAAGAATTCAGCTACTGTCTGTCTATTTTGAAATCTGACTACCCCCAAAAGGTCTTCTCAGAATCTCTGGGCCTGTAATCTTTGTGTACACATTTACAAAACACACATTTAATGCTGAATTTCAGGGAAAGATGGTGCATTGTGACAATGTCACTGCACAAATAATCTAGGGGCCCAGACTAATGCTCTCAGGACATGGGTTCAAATCCAATGATGGCAGCTAGTGAAATTTAAACAAATAATGAAATCTGGAGTTGAAGGCTACTCTAATGGTGTCTGTGAAATTGTCATTAAAAGCAAAATACTACAGATGCTGGAGATTTGAAATAAAAACAAAGTGCTGGAGAAGCTCAACTTGTCTTGCAGCATAGTTAATGTTTTATCTAAACAACTCCAGAGTTCTGAAGAAGACATAAAATATTAAGTCTGTTTATCTGTTTCCACAGACACTGCCAAACCTGATGAGTTTCTCCAGCACTTCATTTCATAAATAAAAACTCATTTACTATTGTAAAACTCATCTGGTTCACCAACGCCTTTTGGGGAAAGGAATCTGCCATTCTTACCAGGTCTGGTCTATTTGCAACTCCAGACCCGCAGCAATATGGTTGAGTCTTAACACTGTTCTCTGAAATAGCCTAGCAAGCCACTCAGTTCAAGGGCAATTACAGATGGGCAACAAATGCTGCCCTTGTCAACACCTTGCACATCCTATGAACGAATAAATAAAAGCAGTGACACCAAATTATGTTAATAATAGTATAGCCCCAAGAAGTCACATGCATAATTTATCTTCATTTGACATGCATTTTTTTTTTCCCTGAACACTTCATACCATGTAAGAAGGCAGTGTTTTAAGCGATCCAGGTTCTGGTCTATGTGTGAAAGGACCTTCAAGCACTCCCCGTCTCAGCATGTGAAGTAAAAGCTTGGCATACATGTTTCGGTTTTTGCGTCCCATTACTCCTGCTCCAGCTCCAGATGGATCACACAATTTCTTGATCCACAAGGCACATCTCTGACGTTCTACAAGATGTATATAGAAATTTTAAAAGTCACAATTATCCTTTAAATGTACATTATGAATTTTGACATGGCACCTGAAAGAAGCATGTTGTTATAGCAGAAAGGGAAAATACTGGTCAGATTCTCTACCAAGAGGCACTAACCTGACAGGGCAGTCAGAAGAAAAAGTCATCACATCACTTTGTAATGTGCCTGGTGGCAATATAACTCAGTCAGGTATTAGTAGACATAAAGTAGGTTTCTGATCACGCAATTGGCCACTAGAAAATAATTTCACAGGTGAGAACTGATGGTATTTGTACACTTCCAAAGATAACTGAAGCCACACATTTCATAAAGAACCTCAATATCACATTTGATCCTAAAATGGACTTCTGACTTCTCATCACTAAGACACCTCATCCCACTTCTATCAGATTGCCTATTCATCTGCCTCGGTTTATTTGTTTCCAACCTGAATTCAGGTCATTGTCATCTCCAAATGCAGTTATTCCAATGCACTCCTGGTTGGGCTCTCGTATTCTACCCTCAAACTGTTTTTTGTGTCTAACTCACATTAAATCCCAACCCTATATCACTTATTGATTTACAGTGGCTCCTGGTCTAGCAACACCTTGATATTAGAACTCTAACTTCAATTCCCATTTTCAAATCATTCCACAGCCTGCCCTCTTCCTGTTTTTGTACTCTCCTCCAGCCCCACAAACCTCAAAGATATCTGTGCTCCCTACTCTGGCTTCTTGTGCATCCCCAAATTTTAATTGCTACATCACTGGTGGACACACATATAATTGCCTGGAGCCCTAGTTCTGGAGTACCTTCTAAAACTTCACTACAACTCCATCTCCCTTCCTCACTGTAAACGACATTCCTTAAAATATACCTATTGCAGAAACCTTTTTGTCACATGACTTATTATCTCCTTGTGTAGCTCAGTAGTTTAATAATGCTCCTGTGAAGCACCTCGGAATGTTTCAATACATTGAAGGTGCTATACAAACTCAAGTTGTTTTTGTAAAATACTCCAATTAATCTGATTAGTTTCCATTTGAGATGGGTAAATGTTTGGTGACTACAGAAACATGGACTACTCAATATAACATTCAAAACCAACACAGAATCAAAATATAACAAGCTTCTTTCCTCAGCTCTTGAAAGACAAATGCTTTAAATTTCTTGTACAAATCTGAACCATCACAACAAATTTGGATTTCTGGGGGAAGATGACAGTGTGGTGATAGTGTCATTGGGCTTGTAATCCAAAGATATCAGCTTAACATTCCAGGCTCATGTGTACAATCTCGCCACGGCACATAAAAATAACCCATCATCAACAAATCAATAAAATGTGGAACTGGAAGCTAGTTATAGTAACCATAACCTATAAAAGTATACTTTAAGGAAGAAAATCCAACATCTTTTCCTAAGCTGACCTAATCACAACTCCAGATTCACAGCAATATGGTCATCTCTTAATTGCCTGCTCTCCAAAATGGCCTAGCCACACAATACAAGGAAACTAGAGATGGGCAACAAATGCTGATATTGTCAGTAACACTCACATCCCATGAAAGAGAAAAAAGAGAAAAAACATCTTAGCGCAATTAATGTGTACAAATTCTTCATCTAGAAGTGCGAATGGTGAATGCAATTAGGCTAGAAAGGATTTTTATTTTTTATTTGTTCACTCACGGGTGTGGGCATCACAAGCTGGACCAGCATTTATTGCCCATTCCTAGTTGTTCTTGAGAAGGTGGTGGTGAGCTGCAATCTACCTGGTGTAGATATACACACACAATGCCATGAGGGAGGGAGTCCCAAGGTTTGACTCAGAGACACTGAAGGAATGACACAATATTTCCAAGTCTGAATGGCAAGTGTCCTGGAGGGGAACTTGCAGATGTTAGTGTTCTCATATATCTGCTGCCCTTACCCTTCTAAATAGTCACTGCAGTTTGAAAGGTACTGTCTAAAGCAGCCTTCCTGAATTTCAGCAAGGCATCTTCTAATTGGTACACACTGTTGCTAAGAAGTGTCGTTGGATTTTGTCATTACTGGAACGCTGTCAAGGCACAAATCCTTTGTTGTATCCAGAGCCTGATATCACATGGAGTGAATTGAATTTGCTAAAAATTGGCATCTATGATGGTGATATCCTCTGGAGGAGACCAAGAAGGATCATCCACACAGCACTTCAGGCTGAAGATTGTTGTGAATGTTTCAGCCTTATTTTTGCACTGAACTGGACTTGCCATATAAATACAGTGGCTACAAGAGCTGATCGGGGCAACGAATCCTGCATCAAGTATCTCACCTCCTGACTTCTCAAAGTCTGTCCGCCATCTACAAAGCACAATTTCGGAGTGATGGAGTATTCCCCACTTGCCTGAATGAGTGTAGTTCCAACTACACTCAAAAAGCTTGACACCATCTAGGACAAAACAGTCCACATTCAGAAACATTCAGATATTCCATCAATGACGCTAAGTAGCAGCTGTGTGTACTATCTACAAGAGGCACTGCACAAATTCACCAAAAATCCTTAGACAGCACTTTCTAAAGCCATGCCTAATTCTATGTAAAAGAACAAAGGCAGCAGACACATGGAAATACCACCACCTGCAAACTCCTCTCCAAGCTACTCGTCATTCTGACTTGGAAACATATTGCCATTCCTTCACTATTTCTGGGTCAAAATTATGGAATTGCCTCCCTAACAGCAGAATGAGACTCAAAAACAGAAGCTGCTGGAAAAGCTCAGCAGGTCTGGAAGCATCTGTGAAGAAAAAAATCTGAGTTAACGTTTCGGGTCTGGTGACCCTTCCTCAGAACTCTTGGCATCTCGCTGGAGGTGTCGGAAATGGCATCTGCTGATCTTCTGGATGTGGATGCAGGTGGGATGGTAGGTAAGGAAAAGGGGAACTCTATTGCTGTTGCAGGATGGAAGAGAAGGGGTGAAGGCGGAAATGTGGGAGATGAGTCAGACCCAGATGAGGGCCCTGTCGACAACGGTGCTGAGGAATCCTCGAATAAGGAGGTAGGTGTACATTTCAGAGGCTCCCTTGTCGAAGGTGGCCTCACGTGCAATGTATACGACAGAGACGGAAGAACTGAGAGAATGGAATGGAGTCTTTACAGGAAGCAGGGTGCGAGGATGTATAGTCCAGGTAGCTGTGGGAGTCATTGGGTTTATAATGGATATTAGTGGCCAGTCTATCTCCAGAAACGGAAACAGAAATGTCGAGGAACAGAAGGAAGGAGTCAGAGATAGACCAGGTGAAAGTGAGGGCAGGGTAGAAATTGGAAGCGAAATCGATGAACTTTTCCAATTCCAGACAAGAGAGGGAAGCAGCACCGATGATATCATCAATATATCAGAGAAAAAGTTTGTGGGTGGGGGCCGGAATAGGTCTGGAACTAGCAATGTTCCACATACCCCACAAACAGACTGGCATAACTAGGGCCCATGTGGGTACCCATGGCCCCCACTCTTAACTGAAGAAAATGAGAGGAGTCAAAAGAGAAGTTGTTGAGGTTGAGGACAAGCTCAGCCATGTGGAGGAGAGTGGTGGTGGGTGGGGTCATTTCAGATCTGTGCTCCAGGAAGGAGCGGGGAGGCCTAAGACCCTCCTGGTCCGGAATGGACGTGTAAAGGGATTGCACGTCCATGGTAAAGAGGCAGTGGCTGGAACTTGCAAACTGGAAGTTTTGAAACCGGTGTAAGACGTCAGAGGAATCACGGATGTACATGGGCAGAGATTGGACCAGGGGAGCGAAGACTGAGTCAAGGTAGGAAGAGATGAGTTCTCTGGGGCAGGAGCAGGCTGAACAATGGGTCTGCCCGGAGAGTCCTGTTTGTGGATTTTTGGAAGGAGGTAGAAGTGAGCTGTGCGGGGCTGGGGAACCATCAGCTTGGAAGCAGTTGCGGGGGACTGCAGATGCTGTAAATCAGGAACAAAAACAGAAGTTGCTGGAAAAGCTCAACAGGTCTGGCAGGATCTGTGAAGAAAAAAATCAGAGTTAACATTTCGGGTCTGGTGACCCTTCCTCAGAACACAGTTCAAGGTGACAACTCACCATCACCTACTCAGAGGCAATTAGGGACAGGCAATTAATGATGGTTCAGCCAGGACACAAAATCCCACAAGTGAGCAAAATAAAAATTGCTGGATTGCCTCATTGTGAAGGATGGAGGTGTTTATGGAACCATCTCCTCTGCCAGTGACTTGTTTAGTTGTCCACTACCATTCACACAGATATGGCAGGCCTACAGAGTTTAGATCTGATTCACTGGCTGTGGAATCATTTGGCTCTGTCTATTACTTGCTGGAGACAGGAAGAGGGCATCACAATCAAGCCTAAACCAGTCTGCCCTCGAAATTCAAGTACATCCAGGAGCGAACACTGCATAACTATCAGGATAGGGTCATTTGCCAAATTTGTCCTCCATAAACCAATAATTTTGAAGCTGCTGTGGCTGCAAGCAGGGTTCTTCAGAGCCCCTCACGGCTTCTCCCAATACAGAGATAGCAATCTTCACACGTTCTCAACAAATGCTTTCAACAATCCTAGTCCTGATTCCAACTCTTAGCTAATTCTTCAAACCCTTTTGTGAGTTTGTTCTGTGGTCCAGCATGTTCTGTTGACGAGATCCCCATAGCACAAATGGTTTTCCAAAGAGTTCTCCGTGCTTCCAGTTTTTCAGAATTTCCAGAATCTATATTCACTATAATAACTACTTGTTCTTTCATGTTATGCTACATAGCACCAACTCCCATTCTGAACCTGGCAGGTGACCTGCCAATTCTGCAGTTTGGTAAAGACTCAGTCTCGACACTGCCAGGTTTCAAAAGTATAATCTGTAATTCAACAAGGAGATAGGTACAAGCCACAGTCCTACCAGACTTGCGTGACTCATTTACTCAACAGATAAATTCACTATCAGGAGAACTTTTTTATAATGTTATAGTGTATCTATGAAATATTGGCAAAATGATTATCAAGGAAGTTACATTTACGCCCCTAAATACACAGGACAAAATGTTCAAACTCTTTTAATATGAAGTTTTCACAATCCTCAATTGTGTAGCTGATTTGAAGTTCACTTGTGTCAATTTATTAGTGCATAGGTCATCGACTGCAAAGCAAATAACTGTCAGATCGTTTCTGCTCAATCCAATAATAATTTCATTATGCTCTGCACTATTGATTCAAGAGTATTTTCATAGAACTGATTTCTATCAAAATTAATGATCTTGTTTTTATCAAATCCCTGTTTTGCCAATGCATTATTGCATCCAGTAGCTGGATGAAGGCAAACATTTTGGAACAAAAACAGGGAGAAGAAACAGTCCTTCACTTTTGTAAAAGAGGTGTACTATTAATCTAAACACAACATTTTGGCTACCTCCCCTAAGTATGCTTATGCATGTTAGAATATTGCACATTCTTTTTATAAATAGAAAGGGTGTTCAGACTACAGCCTCTGAGCAATTTCTGATCTTCATGAGGCAGAAAGCCAACTCTGAGTCTTGAACGTCAGCTCCACTTGTGCTGCGATGTTTCTTTAGTCGATGGTTTGTCCTTTTCCAATTTTGACAGTCTGAAGTTCGAGAAAACTCTGTTTTACTAGCTGTTTTCACCAGCTGAGGTGTCCAGCACTAGGGGGTTTGGTCTAAACATTTCAGCCAAACCTTTCAGGAACTAAATTACAAAATACTTCTGCACAGAAGAGGGTGGTAAAGTTTTGAACCTTCTTCACAAAACAACAATTAATGCTGAATCAATAATTCTAAACCTGAGATTTTTAGATTTATGTTAACCAAAGCAATTAAGAAATATTGGGCAATGATAGATAAAACAGATATGCCATGCTCTCATTAAATAGCAGAACAGACTGGACTGTTAACCCGAGTCAAATGGTTGACTTCTGTTCCTATGTTCAATGCAGTTGCTCGTTGGTGGATAAATCTTATATCGGAATACCGAGACGTATTATCAGCAACTTGAGATCTATATATCTTAGTAGCAACATTGGTTTAGAATTTTACATTCAACGAATAAGGATCTATGACCAGCTTACAAAGTTTGGATATCCCTGCAGTCCCCCAACTTGAGTTAGTGAAAACAGCAAGAAAAATTGTTTCTTTACACTAATTATGCTGCTACTCACTGCAGTACAAAGCAATGCACACAAATATTAAAACTTAGCACTGATATTAATCAGGGCTGAAGGCAATTAACAAATAACTGAAACTACCAGAGGAGAATTTGCTTCAATAACTGGAAAGAAACATTATCCCTCTTTCTCCCCTTAGAGCTTACCTGACTTATGTGACAGTTTCAGAACATATGGTTTCATGTCAACTAAATAGTGGTCAAATTCTGAATCAAGTTGTTCCCAGGTTTCTTCCTGGTTGGCCATCCTGTTTCTTGAGTAATGTGTCTACAATCTGTTAACAATATAGAAAAAAATGTTCTGAAGTTTTTGTTTTATTAAAAAATGTCACGATTCCACCAGAAAGGTTGGTAATGCATCATCATTTTCATTCAGAGACAAACATAGAAATTGCTGGAAAAGCTCAGCAGGTACCACAAATGCTTCCAGACCTGCTGATCTTTTCCAGCAATTTCTATTTTTGTCTCTGATTTACAGCATCCACAGTTCTTTCAGTTTTTCTTATCACTTTTATTCATCTCCCAGAGATAAGTTATAATAAGGCTGCAGGTCAATCCGCCCTCTCAAAATATGAGTAATACAGAGACGTAGAATAAAAGCTAAGTAAATTTTACTGCCTACGAATAAAACCTCAATTCGTATCCATTTGTGTCAGGCACGTATCTATTGCCACTGAAAACAATCTCGTCTGTAGGAACGGGAAAGATCAGTGGGTTAGAACATTCAGGTTGCCAAGTGGTTGGTGGCACTCCTGGAGGTTTTTGCTATTCGGGTCATAGGGTATATACAAATGACATTTGTTAAGATCCCAGACAAGCTCCCACATTGGGTTATGATGCCAGGCCAGGCTGCCAAATTTAATATTACCATTTGGTTAGGGACCAGTAACTTACGTTTTTTAAGTAGACAAAAGGTGGATGTAGGGGACTCGCTAAGGGAATAATACCACAAGATTCCATGGTTTTGGGCAAAAAAATTTTACTGTACAATTTTAAAACAGTAATACAATCTACAGTACATATACAACGATTTCTCACACCCAGCACGGGTATATACTGCAATCAAACATCCCATAATCCACATTAAAGATCAAATTCGACCAAGACAGATCCCAAAGATTTATAGCAATTTCACCTGGATGAAAATGACAAATTAGGTTATCAAATCTCAAACTTCATAAGGCATTTGAATTCCTCACTTTTGTCAATCTAGCCTTGAAACCCCACATCAAGAACCATTCAGTCATGGACTGTTTTCCTGTTTGAGTTAATCAGCCCTTTCCCAGGTCCATGCTCACCTGGATTCTGAAAACTGTACTCCAGTATTTATTCCCCAGTAAAATTTCAGCTGTTCACCAACAGCTAGCTTCACCAAATCAGCAGCATCAAAAGTTGCAGAAGAGAAACTGAGGGCAGGGAAACAATTGTCAAACAGGAATACAAAGAAGTGCGAAGAACATTTATTCCATCAATAATTAAATCACAACTAACTCAATAAGGTAACTAGTAGTAGTAACTAGTAACAACCAAGACTGGCTCTAACATAACGAGGGATACACCAGGTTCCAAGCGGTTGATTGTGATAGGGGACTTTCTAGTCAAAAGCACAGATGTTTCTGCAGCCGACAGGGAGACATCAGAATGGTGTGTTGCCTTCCTGGTGCCAGGATCAAGGGTATCTTGGAGAGGGTGCAGAATACTCTCAAAGGAGAAAGGAACCAGCAGGACGCAGGAACAGATAAGGTCGCAATTCCGAGGAAAGAATATAGGAAGTTAGGCAGGAATTTAAAAAGGAGGTCCTTGAGGGTTGTAATGTCTGGATTACTTCCAGTGCCACAAGTTAGTGACTGTGGGAATAGGAGGATAGAGCAAATGAATGCGTGGATGACAAGCTGGTGCAGGGGAGAAGGATTCACATTTTTGGATCATTGGAATCTGTTCTGGGGTAGAAGTGACCTGTATAAGAAGGACGGATTGCACCTGAATTGGAAGGGGACTAATACATGGGCGGGGAGATTTGCTCGAGCTGCTTGGGAGGGTGCGGGGAGACCCAGGGAGATTGAGAGGAAAGCAACCAGTCTGAGACTAATACAGGAGTTGGGAAACAGAGTAAGTCAAACAGTCAGGGCAGGCAGGAACAAAGCAGAGAATGAGGTAGGACTGATAAATTAAAATGCATTTATTTTAATGCAAGTGACCCAACAGGTAAGGCAGATGAATCAGGGCATGGACTGGGATATCACAGCAATTACAGAGACATGGCTCAGGGATGGAGAGGACTGGCAGATTAATGTTCCAGAGTACAGATGATATAGGATGGATAGATGGATAGAAAGGAGAGCAAGAGAGGAGGAGGAGTCCTGTGTATCACAGATAACATTACTGCTGTACTTAGGGAGGATATTCCAGGGAAGTTATTTGGATGGAACTGAGAAATAAAAAAACGACGATCACCTTATTGGGCTTATACTATAGACACCCACAATAGTCAGTGGAAAATTGAGAACTAAATTTTTAAGGAGGTCTCCGTATTTGTGAGAATAATAAGTTGGTTATGGTAGAGAATTTTAATTTTCCAAACATATACTGGGACTGCCAATAGTGTCAAGGGCTTGGATGGAGAGGAATTTGTTAAGTGTGTACAAGAAAATTTTCTGATTCAGTATGTGGATGCACCTATTACAGAAGGGGCAAAACTTGACTTATTCTTGGGAAATAAGGCAGGACAGGTGACTGAGATGTCAGTGGGGGAGCACTTTGTGGACAGTGACCATAATTCTATTAGGTTTAAAATAGTGATGGTAAAGGATAGACTGGATATAAAAGTTAAAGTTCTAAATTGGAGTAAGAACGTTCAAAAGTTGATTGGGGACAGATGTTCACATGTAAAGGGACAGCTGGAAAACAGGGAGCATTCAAAAATAAGATAACAAAAATCCAGAGACAGTATGTTCCTATTATGGTGAAGGACAAGGCTAGTAGGTGTAGGGAATTCTAGGTGACTGGAGAAATTGAGGTTTCAGTCAAGAATAAGAAGGAAGCATATGTCAGGTACACGCAGCAGGGATTGAGTGAATCCCTAGAAGAGTATAAAGGCAGCAGGAGCATAGTTAGGAGGGAAATCAGGAGGGCAAAAAGGGGACATGAAATAGCTTCAACAAATAGGATTCTACAAATACATTAAGGAGAAAAGGTTAACTATGGAGAGAATTGGGCCCTTTAAAGATTAGCAAAGCCATCTATGTGTGGAACCGCAGGAGATGATGGATACAAAATGAGTACTTTGCATCAGTGTTTACTGTGGAGAAAGAACATGGAAGATAGAGAATGTGGGGAAATAAATAGCGACATCTCGAAAAATGTCCATATTACAGAAGAGGTGGTACTGAACGTCTTAAAATGCATAAAGGCAAATAAATCCCTGGGACCTGATCAGGTGTACCGTAGAACTCTGTAGGAAGTGAGAGAAGAGATTGCTGGGCCCGTTGCTGAGATGTTTATATCATCAATAGCCACAGGTGAGGTTGGCTAACGAGGTGCCACTATTTAAGAAAGGAGGTAAGGAAAAGCCAGGGAACTCTAGACCTGTGAGCATGACAGTAGTGGTGGGCAAGTTGTTGGAGGGAATCCGGAGGGACAGGATTTACATATATTTGGAAAGGCAAGGACCGATTAGGGATCATCAGCATTGCTTTGTGCATGCAAAATCGAGGCTTACTAACTTGATTGAGTTTTTTGAAGAACTAACGAAGAGGACTGATGAGGGCAGAGCGTTGGATGTGATCTATATGGACTTCAGTAAGGCATTCAATAAGGTTCCTCATGGTAGACTGGCTAGCAAGGTTAGATCACATGGAATACAGGGAGAACTAGTTGTTTGGATACAGAACTGGCTAAAAGATAGAAGACAGAGAGTGGTGGTGGAAGATTGCTTTTCAGACTGGAGGCCATTGACCAGTGGTGTGCCACAAGGATTGGTGCTGGGTCCACTGCTTTTTGTCATTTATATAAATGATTTGGATGTGAACATAGGAGGAGTGGTTAGTAAGTCTGCAGATGACACTAAAATTGGAGGTGTACTGGACAGCAAAGAAGGTTACTGCAGAGTACAACAGGATCTTGATCAGATGGGCCAATGGGCCGAAGAGTGGCAGATGGAGTTTAATTTAGATAAATGAGAGGTGCTCCATTTTGGAAAGGCAAATCAGGGCAGAACTTCTACCATTAATGCTAAGGTCCTGGGGATTGTTGCTGAACAGAAAGACCTTGGAGTGCAGGTTCATAGTTCCTTGAAATTGCAGGCGCACATAGATAGGATAGTGAAGGCGGCACTTGGTATGCTTGCCTTTATTGGTCAGTGCACTGAGTATAGGAGTTGGGAGGCCATATTGCGGCTGTACAGGACATTGGTTTGGTCACTTTTGAAGTATTGCGCGCAATTCTGGTCTCCCTGCTGTCAGAAGGATGTCATGAAACTAGAAAGGATTCAGAAAAGATTTACAACGATGTTGCCAGGGTTGGAGGGTTTGAGCTATACGGAGAGGCTGAATAGGCTGGTGCTATTTTCCCTACAGCGTTGGACGCTGAGGGGTGACCTTATAGTGGTTTATAAGGTCATGAGAGGCATGGATAGGGTAAATAGGCAAGGTCTTCTCCCTGGGGGGGATGGAGTCCAAACTAGAGGGCATAGGTTTAAGGTGAGAGGGAAAAGATGTATAAGGGACCTAAAGGGCAACTTTTTCCATGCACAGGGTATTGCATGAATGCAATGAACTGCCAGAGGATATGGTGGAGGCTGTTACGATTACAACATTTAAAAGGCATCTGGATATGTATATGAATAGGATGGGTTTAGAAAGACACGGGCCAAATCCCAGCAAATGGGACTAGATTTATGTGGGATACCTGGTCAGCATGGACAAGTTGGACCAAAGGGTCTGTTTCCATGCTGCATATCTCTGTAACTCAGATTCTTCTCATGACCAACTGACAGTCAATGTTGCCTAACCAGCTTAAATGAAACATGAAGCGCTTGTATATTAGTGTCTACTTCTGGACCAGAAACCTCAGGTTTAAGTCCTAACTGCTCTACAGGCATGTGAAATCACTTCTGAAAAGGTTGATTAAATACAACTATAACGCACTGATATTGAACCTGAAGCTACAACTAGAATCTCCCTCCGTAGCACAAAATACAGTCAAGGGCGTTTACTGCATGCCACGAATAATAGGCTGAATTCCCTATCTATGGTTGTGTATGAAGACAACTGTGAAC